GTGTGTGTGTGTGTGTGTGTGTGTGTGTGTGTGTGTGTGTGTGTCAGGGGAAAAAGCGGTAGAGGTTGAATATTAGCTGCTTTCCCACTTGCACCTTAACCTGAAGGAAAGAAGTTCCTTCCTCATGTGAGGCAAGATGTGTACCTGCAGAGGACTGGTGAGAAGTGTTCACCAAATCAGATGTTGCTGTACAGCTTGTTGCAGTGAGAGATTTTTGTTCGTTTAATTTCAAGATCCAGTACCAATGATGCAGACTCTGTGTTTTGTCTGCCTTCCTGTTGCAGTGGTTACATTTGAATCTTTGTTTACATTTAGCAATCTGTTGCCGGCTGTTTGCTAAACGAAGTCCCTTCTAAATGTGCAGCAGTAGCCATATATCAATCCATTGTAGAGATGTGCTTTTTTTATATCCTTTGTACTCCACAGATTGTCCCTTCATTGTCAGAGTAACACTTTCCGCAGAATCCACTTTTGTCCAGTTGTTTGCTTTTTATAGCTTTTTTTCTTTGAGCGCTCTTGCTGTGTTTGGATGGAGGCTGAGGGGGATATTTGTTGTTTGCTCTCTGTTTGCTGCTATAGAAAGCACTGAACAATTGAAATAGTTTGAACAAGTATGACGGCACACATTTTACACCAACGTACCTGCTGTGGAAGAGTGTCATCTTGGAATAGTATATAAATATGATAAAACCAAATGAAATCATTTTATTTTCGTCAACCTAGCAAGCCATTGTTTTCCCACAGATGGAAATAGTTTTGTAATAGACCTTTTGGAAAAGTATCCCCAGACCACAGATGCTCCATTTCTCTCCTCTCGTCCATCATTCAATTAGAGAGCCAGGAGTAGTGTCGGGCGATGTGGGCTGTGTACGCAGCCTCAACAAGAGCCCTATTCACACAGAGAAACAACTGCATCAGCTCTTTGTTTGCAGCGTTTCCCTTTTTTTTTCTTTCTTTTTTTTCTTTTTTCTGACGTCGCTATTGTCTCAGTCCACGCAGGAAGCCGGGCTGACCAACGGCACGCCGGTCGAGACGTCGAGTCCCGCCTCCACCTCGTCGCTGTTCAACAGGCTGCAGCTGGAAGACGATCTGGAGGCAGATGTCCGGGACCCCTACGCAGAAACCACAGAGACCCGTGACCTGTTCGTCACGGTTGACGAGCCAAAGAAGCACGTGTCCACCATGGAGACCTACATCACCTACAGAGTCTCCACCAAGGTCTGCTATTGGCCGAACAGCAGTAATAAACTTCTAATCTAATGGGAGTCATAGTGTTTGTTTACCATGTTTTAGCCAACCAACAGTTACTGCCAACCATTTCTCAAAGCTTACATTTAATACCTCTGCACCGTTCGGAGTAGGTAATCAATCACAGTGAGTCGTTAGTCTTCCTTTTTATTATTCTTATTTCCTCTTATTTGTTGTGTTTCGTGATTGTTTTAAAAACTCTCCTTCACGGTGTGTTCAAGGCAAGTTTTATACCAAAGTGCTATGAAAGAAAGTTTCTTTTTTAATGCAAGAAACTTTAGTTTTTATATGTTCCTCAACATCAACGTCTGTTTGTACTCCGTCAGCTTCTGTAATTAAATGGGATCAAACATGCAAAACGACCAACATGGTGGAGGTAAACTGCCTCATGGTAATGGATTTAGGCAGGTTGCAGATTCATAGTCCCTCAGCCTTCCCGTAAAGGATTCATATTCCAGAGATTTAGATGTATTCAGTGACTTGTGTTTACCGGGTGGAGCCTCCGGTCCATCCTTCTGTCTTGCCAGTAGTTCACCGCTTGGCCTGACGGGACTAAATGTGCTCTGATCTTCAGCGGGGATTCACAGCTTTAGAGGCCTTTCCAACGAGTAATGAAAGAAACAGATTCAGAGATAGACGCTGCCAGGAGCTGCCCGGGTTGTGTCATGACTACAGTTGCTATGTGCGCTGTGGTGCTTCAGCTCAGAGGACAAATATCACAGCCCACGATGAACACAAACGTGTTAATTGAGAGTATGTGGGGGCTGTCGTTTAACACGGTATTGTCAGAGAGAGCGAGAATGTGTGTGCAGTGTCAGCTATATGTTAAGGTCAGTAAGCATGTATAGTTATCCTAAATGGGCTGAGATGTATTGAGACATGCCCACCTTCCATATAAATGTGTACTTGTAAGTATAAATTGTGTGCTAAAGTACTGTCTTCTAATTTGGTAATTTATTAACACAGCAAATGTGTGTGCGTGTGTTTTTTCTTCAGACATCACGGGTAGAGTTTGACCTGCCGGACTACTGTTTGCGACGGCGCTACCAGGACTTTGACTGGCTGAGGATCAAGTTGGAAGACAGCCAGCCGACCCACCTCATCCCCGTAGGTCAAATGAGCCACAGCGCGCCCTGCTTCCTGTCCTGGTTTTCTGTTGAGAAGCGCTTAATATACATTCTCTGCTTCTCCTCTTTCCTCCGCCTCTCGTCATCTCCAGCCGCTGCCAGAGAAGTTCGTGATGAAGGGCGTGGTGGATCGTTTTTCAGAGGAGTTTGTGGAGACGAGGATGAAGGCCCTGGACAAGTTCCTGAAGCGAGTTTCCGACCACCCCGTACTCTCCTTCAACCCACATCTAAACACTTTCCTCACTGCCAAGGTGAGACAACGCAAAGTCGGAACGTTTGACTTTTAGGGGCAAGAAAACGAGTGCTTTCTCACTGTGATCAACACGCAGACACATTCAGGTCAGTCAGTGCTTTTCCTGTCACATGCTTGCATGCAGTTCATTTTATGCAGCACCGTGTCATTGTGCGTGTTATTGTGTACAGTAAAAAGACCTAATCTCAGCAGAGATCTTTCAGTATAATCCAGTCCCAGGAAACACGGAGCCTCTGCTTCCTCGTGTGAGTGTTTTCTCTGGATCTGCCATCAGTCACACATTTTGTCTCCAAGTAGGTGAGACAAAAGACAACGTTATTGATCCCAGTGGGTAAATAATGTTGTTGCAGCAGTAAGGTAATTGGACTCAGAAAAAGAAAGTGAAGAATAAGCATGCTCGATCCATATAAGATGTAAAATGGGTGATAATAAAATACTTACGGTAATAAAACAACAAAAGAATATAATTGGGTAATTTCTGTGTCTAAGCTGCACAAGGTGCATCCAAAAAAACCATTATTGCTACGTTAACACATTTGTCGCTTCATACCTATGTCATTTGATTGTCGACATCATGTGGCCTGTTGTCACTGTGTGTCTGCAGGACCTGAACAAGCGTCAGGGTCTGGCCCTGCTGACCAAGGTGGGCGAGTCGGTGAAGCACGCGGCCGGAGGCTACAAGCTGCGGGCGCGGCCGGCCGAGTTCTGCGCCATGGGAGAATACCTGGACACCTTCAACCAGAAACTGGGAACCATCGACCGCATCGCTCAGAGGATCCTCAAAGAGCAGTCGGGTATCAGAACAATAATAATAATACGATTACCTGTATCACCTGGAGGTTGCTGAGTCTTCTTTTTTGTAAAAATCTGTAGTTTGGCTCTATTGAACACTTGTTCGCATGGAGGTATGATATGCAACAAAGGTCCCTTTCCAAGTTCCAATAAAACGGAGTCATCCTTTAAATGTTATGCAGGGCCCAGCAGGCTTGCACATGGTTATGAACCAGTTAATTGATTGATTGTTATTTTTGCAATAAAGAGAGGGATTAATACAAAACGTACCAAATGCGAAAATTATTCCACCAAAAATGGCAACATGAAGCAATCAATAAATGGATAAATTAAAACCAGATTAATTAATATTTTCCATTTACCCATTCGTTTGTCATTTACAGAGAGCCTCACTGTGGCTGAACATTACATACTGTATAAGTTGTGGGTTGCAAAAAGCACTTTCTGGCTAGAGAACTGAAGCCACTTCTTCATAATTACTTCTTCCAGAAATGTATTTTAGGCACCAGGAAGCGACATTTTGAAATGGTTGTGTGTGCTGCTTGCAAAAGACCTTAAGTAGTACTCCTTATACTCTACTCCTCTTCTCAGTAGAACTACTTACTGTATCTTCTAAGTTACATTGTGCTTGCAGTTAGCTTATGTCATGCAGTCGCTCGGTCTTGACCCGGGTGGCTAAAACTAGCCTGTGGGACTTTATCTGCAGTATTGATTCAGTGCTGTTGTGTTTGGTTAGAGAAAAAAAAAAAAGCCCACAGACCTTTGGCATCGCGGGTGCCTGGTGGATAAGTGCAGGCCTAGCTCACGCATGACATGTGATCTTGTAAATACCTGACATCTGCCGTGTGAAATGCTCGATATCGCCATCTGTTCGGGGGTTTAGATGATGTCGCAGTCTGTGGCCTAAAAATCTACAGCGCAAACACACCTCGTTTCCATATTGGAGGAGATGAGATGGAAACTCTGGGAAGTGTAGATAAAAAAAGACCTATGAGCTGACGCAGAGTGTAGATGCCATGCTTCACTTAGCAGCCCGGTGTTCACTCATCACCCTCTCTGTGTAATTTAGCAATCCAGAAGTTTCCATTGAACACGCCACTCTCTCTCTATATCGCCTGTGAGGAAAGAGAGAAAGTTTAGCTTTCATTGGTTTTCCTGTCCAGCAGTGTAATAAAGTATTAGCTGCTCAACCTTCAAATCCAGACACAGATTATCAACGGGTCATTAAGAAGTATGAAAAAAGGGCTGCATAAAGGAAAGAAGAGGCATAACTCTTCTTTATGTCCTGTCTAACCGCCTCTTTCTTTCTTCCTTCCTTCTTTTAAACCCCACTAGAGTACCTGACGGAGCTTCGTGAGTACGGCACCGTGTACTCCAGCTGGGTGGGATCAGAGGAGGAGCTGCGGCGCCCCCTGGAGGGCGTGAGCGGCAGCGTGACATCGTGCTGCGGAGCGCTGGAGGACCTGGGCGAGGGCATGAGCCAGGACTTCCTGCCCGTACTCCGAGAGTACGTCCTCTACGTAGAGTCCATGAAGGTGAGCGGGACGAGGGATGTCGCACGGGACATTTTTTGTTTGTTTTGTTGATGTTCTAAAGAGCTGGAATGCAGTACAGCAATTCAACCTTGTTTCAAATAACAGAATGCGATCACTTTTATAACCTCTTTTACATATGTTCAGTTTACCTTATCAACGTCTTTTGATTTTTGTAAACATGTAGTTCTTTCTAATTTGATGCCACCAACATGTTTTGAAAAAAGTTCTTAAAAGGCAAGAATTGGAAAGAATTTTTCTTTCAAAAATTCAACAATTAATGACACAGCAGTAAACATGCCCCTGTCCCAACTTTTTTGGGACATTTTGAACATTAGATATCTTGACTTCTTTACTGTTTTCAATTGAATATATGTCAGAAAGGATTAGCAAATTATACCACTCTGTTTTGTTTATGTTTTTATGTGTCCCAACCTTTTTTGGAATAAGGGTTGGACTAGAAAACCCAATTTTTTTTATACTAACAGACAGCGAACGTCACTCAAACTGTGACTTTGGAATGTCACTGACAAATGGACAGCAATCGTTTTTCCCTTCGATTTAATGCTTATTTTGTTTGTTGAACAAGATGTTTTGAACTGATTCTCACACACACACACCCAAAATTAGTTTAATTTTTGTTTATTTTTCCTGCTATGAGCAGCTCCTCTATTTCTTTTGTTTAAGAATAGTGATGCACACATCAACACCACACTCACAAATTGCACAAATGTGCACACATTTTGCAATGTCTACACACCAAAAAGCTGATTTTGAATTTGTGTGTATTATGGCTTTGGGACACGGCTACAGACTCGCTGTGTTTCAGCAGAGTCGTGTTTGACTATGGATAGAGGAAGTGAGAGTCTGTTCACATCCTGCTTTCTGAGCTCTTGAATCGGCGTCGCGCTCTGTTTAATATTTTCCATATCATCTCTCTCGGGAATATTACAGTATCGGTAAATGTCACACTAACAGTGCGAAATGAAGCAGTTGATGTTTTTTGGTTGATTGACAGAATGTTTTGAGGAAGCGAGACCAGAGCCAGGCGGAGTACGAGGGCCGACTAGAAGCAGCCATAATACGCAAACAGGAGGACAGAACGCCAGTAAGCCTCCACAAATAAAGATTCTCCTGCCGCTGTGTCAAATTTCACATATCTCTAACACAACCCTCCCCCTCCAAAACCCCTTGCACCACCTAGACCGCCCGGTTGTAGCCTGCAACCTGTAGTTTTGTGTAATGTTCCCTTAAAAAGCCCCCTGTAGCTGGTAGTGTTTTCTCTGTTTCGCCGTAGATGCCAGTCGAGGTAGAGAAGTGCCAGGACAAAGTGGAGTGTTTCAACGCCGACCTGAAGGCAGACTGGGAGCGCTGGCAGAGCAACAAGAGGCAAGACTTCAAACAGCTTCTCACCGGCATGGCCGACAAAAACGTCAACCACTATGAAAAGGTACGCACGCTGCTGTAAAGCACTGCTATGACTTCAATACACTGCAAACACATGAACTTTAAATCTTAAATAAACTTTAAGTATATCCGGCTTTATGGTCTATTTTACTTTAATGGGACCATCATTTACTAGATGGACAGCATGCTGTATTATAGAACACTTGCAACTAACCATCGAGACCATAAACTCATGTTCCTCAGCAGACAACAAACCAAGATGAGCTTTGTAATCACACCGGTCAATAGTTATTCTGTGTCGGCAATGTGAGGACATTATTAAATTATTAGCATCAATGGATGGTGTATTGCTTCCCAGACGCTAGCTGGCTTTGCTTTGTTACAAATGACTTGCATTAATGTAACAATAAGCAATTAGTTAGCGGAGTTTGACCCACATGTTTCATCAACGTCACCAATAATGGTGGAGTGATTTAAGAACATCCACCTCTTTTATCGCCCATATACGTGCTGTATATCCTGACTAATGGTTCCATGAGTAGCTCTCGGCTACTTTTTCATTTTGTCAAATTAGCTTTCAGAGGAACAAAAGTTGGAGGCCATCTGATCTAATGAGCAGTAAGCTGAGCTTTGGGATCCAACAGAGGTGTCTGTTGTTGACCTTTATTTACCCACAGTAGATTCACTAAACATGAAGGCTCTTTATAAAAACAATAAAGAAAACGTCCTGCTCTCATTGACACAGTTTCACACGTGAGAGTTGCCCAGTACAACAACAGTCATCTACCTCTCTCTCTCCCCCCTCCCTCCCTCCCTCTGCAGTGCCAAGCAGCGTGGGAGTCGCTCATAACTCTCCTCCAGGACAAACAGACTGAAGACAAAACGAGCGAGACAAACTGAAACCTCCCCTCATGCCGTTGCCCCCCCCCTTTCTCTCTCTCTCTCTCTCTCTGTATAACACACACTCTCATGCCAAGGACCAACCAGGCAGCAGATTTGAACTGCTGGACTTTGCCTCTGTTCTCCGGTGAGATGATTGTACAGAGGGGAGTCATCTCTCTCAGAGATTTGACCTGCAAAGTTGGTAACAAATGGTGCATCCTGGGACATTTGGGAACGAGGAGAGACCTGCTCTGTATTGACATTTTCCTTCGGTTTTTTTTGTTTGTTTTTTCTTCGTTCCTAATGACCTTTTCTACTTCTGTATACGACTGTATTTCCAACTACAGTCGGTTGCCAATGCTCCTGGTGTTTATTTAACCACAGTCTCGGAGAGGCATGTTTTCTGTCTGTTCGCTACAAATGTGAAGGATAACTCTTCAGCGTTGAAGAAAACCGATAAGATCACGAAATGTTGCGTGAGTGTGAAGTATGAAGTAGTATTCAGAGCATCCCCAAGATTTACTTTCCCCCCCTGTCAGGATGTAAAACCCTTCTAAGCTGTAACACTGAAACAATACTCCTTCATCTCTTAAAGGCCCCGAATAGACTGTAAATTACAATCCAACATTTTATACTTAATTTAAAGGATCATACCTTTTTTTCCAAGAGTTCCTAATTTCCCCGCAACCATTATCATGAAAATCATCTTGCGGTGACTCGAAACTACCTGTGTCATCAGAGCTTTTAAATAGACACGAAACAAGTGTGGGTGTCTGAGATGAATGTGGAGCTTTATCAGGGAGGTGATTTAGTTAGTGGTCATTGTGTGCTGTTGTAGCAGCACCACCTGGTGGTTAAGATTGATAACAGTTTTCATACTTTAACAAAACCGGTGGCTCAACAGTGTGCTGCTTCTGTTGGTTTCTCATGATGTCACCTTTTGTTTTTTTGCTCCAGCCGTTTATACCTGCTGTGGGGATTTCACCTCTCTTCTTCAAGCAAACACTTTCAGTTAGTTCAGGATGCTAATTGGCGCAACAGGCAGATTTACCCAATGGAATGAACACAAGTTCAGAGTGTAATTTATTCTTTTGGAACAAATGAAAACAATCGGCTGTCAACTTTTTTTTCGTGGAACTTTTTTGAGTCAAAAGTCATTTCTTTTGCAGTAATCTGCCTCAGTGACACTCAGTTAGAGAACATTTCTAAAAACTCAAACATGGGAACATGTGGCGTTTATGCACCCCATCAACAACATCTGTGTCTTGAAGGCTGCATATGATCTGAAAACACCTTCAGAAAAGAGTGCAGAGTTTAGAACTTCTGCCTCGAGCGCTGTGCCTTTTCTGCGCTTCTGAACTTCTTTGAAAAGCGCCGGTGATGTCATTATAAGTACAGAACATAGAGGAGAAGCTTGTTTTGGCTATCCTGAGATTTATATGTCAGACCGACACTTTCATTAGAAATTACCAAAAAGCCCATTCAGACAAGGGTCCTTAACACAAACCTGCTTTCTTAAGTGATTTCAGCCACAGCGGATAGATGCAGCGTGCTGATAGTTCATCGCTATTGCTAATATGCACGATTCATTTGCAGCCGTACTGCTAGCTCATTACACTCGGCCTAAAGTAGTGAAAGCCCCACCAATGATGACTAGGACCACATTTACAAACCCTGATTTTATCTGAAGTTCATGTCATTGCACTACAAAACTTTACTTTTCCAACACCTGTCATGATCATCTCTGTTTGAAGAGTTTCTTTAGCGTAATTTGATTTCTCTTAGAAATAAGGTGCCGGTTTGAGTTTTGGGGTCTGTGCTCTTCGAGGCCCCTGTGTTTTTATTTGTTTCTTTTAAATGTCCTTTAGTCCGACTGTCTTTGAATGGTCCTTGCCCTGTTTTTATAGGCGTGCGTCTAGTTACCGAGGCCGCTCTCTGTGTTGCCAAATGCAAGTGCTGTAAGACAGCAACGAGAAGTAACCGTGGCTGCTAGTGAACTGGATTTATTACGTTGTCGCTTTTGTCAGAGTTGTGTTTATCCCTCAGATTTTCCCCTCGAGCGTTAAAAGCACACAAAGCAGATACTGTTTCTTCTCACTGCCAGAAGTCAGTGAGGTGACACAAGAATATATTTTATATTTTAGGCATTTTGAAGCAGTACGATTGAGAGAAGTTCTCTGAGTCACTGTGGTCCAGTGTCGACGCAGCCACAGCGGACCGTACTACGCAGGCACTGATGCTAAATTACGGTACACACACACACACACACACACACACACACACAATTTTAACATCCACTGCGAAGAGCCACAGCCAGAGGTGTTTGGAAACCAAAACAAAGCTTCTCTATCGCTCACATAAAATGTACAGACAAACCTCCATTTTTATCCCCAAACTACTGCTTTAAGAGCCGTTTGTATTCTTATTTCCTACATTTTCCATCCGTTGTTATGTTTATTGTCACAACTAGTATAAAAAGATGTTTTTTTTTTTTTTCTAAATGGTTCATCCAAACCTCACAGACAGAGTCACTGTTATTAAATTAGCAGCAGCAGGGATTCATCACTATCAGGCAAAGTTAAAGGCACCCTGTAGAGTTTCTGACCACTAGAAGCACTACGGAGCCGTGTTTCTGCGTTTGTATCTCAAGAAAACACACAAAGACAGAGATTGAATGTGAACATAACTTTGTTTACAAGAAAACTCCACTAGGCAGCTTTGAAAACAGATTGTTTTATCAGACTTATATCAGTTTAACCTTTTTTTTTTCATATTAGCACACTGCACTCTGGAACCCCATGAGAAATAAGACAGGAAGAAGTTTAATTTTCCATATTTCAACCAATAACTAATGTTTACTGTAACTCAAATACGTTTTAATATATTGACTTGATAAAGAGCAAAGGAAAAATACATGTAGCAAACCCTCTATTGGAGCATAAAAAGCGACTTAGGTCACTTTTCTTTTAGTTGTTTTTTATTTACTGGATGAGATCTGTTTATTGCTGAGCAATGTGAATTGTGGCAGTGTGTGTTTTTTTTTAGTTTGTTTTTTTTAAATAGGCATTGGGCCATCTGTAGACTGTCCTGCTGAGGTGACCTGAGCATGAGCATAGATTTGAAATTTATTTTTTCTCTAATGACAGCATACTGTATATTCAATATATCCAAATGTGCAGCTGAATTATACGGTACAGCTGAGTCTATTTTTGTATAAAACAAGCTCGTTGAGATATCATTCAAGATCATCGTCAAGATCATTGTTCGGTTTTCCAATGAGTACGTGAAGATTACAACAACACGATTTTGTAGATGCATCTCGTATAAACAAAATGAGAAATGAAACATTTATTTGTTATTTGTTTTTAATACTCATTGGAACCCCAACAATGGTTCTCAGATACATTTAGTTATTCTCACTCGTAGCCATTGTAAAATCCCCATCTCCTAACTGTGTGCCTGCTGATTTACTTTTGCACTATATATGTAGCTCCAACTCCAACTAAACAACTAAATAAGCTTTCTTTTAGTTGCCAAATGTGACAATTAATAGTCTGGTGGGTTGACTTGGTTCTGTGATGTTAGGAGAGGCATTGTCTGCAAAGCTGATTCAGGTAAAATCCCCAAACGGGGATATTTATGGATGCCACTGTACAAAAGGGAGAGTAAGAGCGGACTCATTTTTTGTTTTTCATTTAATGTACAAATCAAATGTTTCGAAGCCAAAATGTCCTCGTCTTTTCTTCCCGTCTTAGATTCACAAATAATGAGGAAATCTGATTTGCAGTACAAGATCAACCTGATCAATCAGACCTGTATGACAGGTTATTCGTCTTTTTATTTCGTTTCTGTTCCTCCCCAGTGTGTACTGTTTACGTTCTGTCCTTATTGTACATTTCGATGTTCATAACATCTTGTTGTAATTATAAATAAGCTTGTATATTGATGTCGTTTTGATGCAATTTATCTTTACCTCGAATGATTTTTTTGGATATATTGGACCAATAATAAAAAGAATGCGTTTGATACTCGTCTGCTCAGGATTGTTTTATTTTATTCCTTAACATTTTCTGTGTATTCAGCAATTTGAACGTTTTGTAAGTTTACAAAAGATGAGTCGTTATTTGATGAACATGCATAAAGTAATTTTTTTTAATACCTTTTTATTATCAGAATTTCAGAGAAACAAAATCAAATCAAGTCTCCCAAAACATACCTCAGAAAATACAAAAACTAGACTTTTACAAAACTTGCAGCTTCAGTCCATCACGACAAAAATATAAAATGTTCTTCAAACCCATACATCAGCATAAACTGTACCTCAGGTGTCATAATAACCTTTATTTAAACCCATTGACTGCAGCCTTTTTGTGTGCGTGCTTTTTAAAGTGTGCATAATGTGCATGATATTAAAATGATAATACAGGCTGCTAGGACAGGACATGCATAATATATCTATCGGTATAGATCTACACACTGCAGAGTTCCATCCTTTTTAAGCTGCGACCTTGTGCAACACTGACATTCAACAGACGCCATTTCTACAGTACATTTTTTTATATATATATATATATATATATATATATATATATATATATAAAAAAAAAATGTACTGTACTTCAATAAATTGTAACCATAATGTTATGTAATGGTACGTACCTGGCATAACATATATATGCCAGGTATATATGTTATACCTGGCATATATAAATATATATAAATTAATTAATTAGTGTAGTACCTTTCAAATTTGTTGAAACCAAATGCAAAATCCCCTGACCAAACACAACTATAAAAAAATAATAATAAAGCCAAAGTACACAATGTTGATGACTGGAAATTGAACTTCCAACTTCCGTCAAATTGTATTCCATCAGCCTCGTCTTTATTTGCAAGGCTTTAGGACTGAAATCTCTCACTCCCAGAGTCACAATGGTATCAAAAATGTTTCATATTCGCAGATTCCCTTTGAGCCTGTTAACAGGAAACTTGTTAAAATGCGTCGGTACTTTTTAGTCTCCCTTAGGATATATGTACGAGAGGATGTCTGACACACTCGTTGACAAATCCACATTATGTGGAAACCCCCTTGGGCGTGTTGTTGAGCACAAAATTTCACTCCCCAATTATTTCCATTGGTTGATAACATTTGCCTGTATCTAGAAAAAAGAGATTGGTCAACACTGCTGTCTGTACTTCCAGTAACAGCCAAAGCCATTTGAAACTTCTCTCTTGCAGTGTCTAACGTTTTATCAAAATAGGAAGCGAGATTAAAGCACTGTTCTCCTTTTTGCCCATTCTCGCTTCCCGTCTGCCTGCACACTGCGGGCGAGGAGGTCGGTGCCGTCAGTCTGCCTGAATCCTTGTGTTCTGTCTCATCTGACGATACTCAGATCTCCAGCTGACAATACTAGAGGGAGGAGAGAGGAAATACATATCAAAGATATATAAATAAGAAGATGAAGCAGGTGTGTGTTTTTAAGTCAGTTTTTTCATTCAAGGCTGAATCATGCCAATCTTACCAGACATAGAGCAGACATAGAGCAGGCATAGACCATGTAGAGACAATAGATCTTTTTCAAATACTCTTGACGACTTTTAATTTGATCGTATCTTAATTAGGTATATATAAAATGTATTGTGAATATAACATGGGGTGCTCTAAGAGTCCCTCTGGGAAGTAAATAAAAACAATGTGCGAGTAGGTTAAAAAAAAAAGTAAGTTTAGTAAATTAAATGTGCTACCTGTTTACCCCCGTTTCCAATCTTTATGCTAAGCTAAGCTAAGCTAATTGACTCATGGCTCCAACTTCATAGTCGATCGACAGAAATGGGAATGGTAACGACCTTCTTGTTTAACTTTTGGCATGAAAGCCATTGTCTTTTTCCAAAAAACATTTGATTAACACACGATTGAACTACAAAGTGTATAATATAAATAGTGGTCCTGACTGTTGATTGTTAGACTAATCTCATTTTCATATGTTTTAAAAATATTCAGAAAACAAACAACCAAATACATTTCTGTTTTTTGTAAGAATTAAAAAAGATGTACACAAGCAGAAAACAAATAGAGGTCCGTGGTAGGAATATACCAATCACTGGCAGCAAAATGATATCAGCCACATCCTACCCGATAGGTATCATTCCCAGCACTGTAATGATGCTGGCGAGCGTGAAGACAAAGCCCGGGAACCAGTCCAGGGTTCTCTGATAGATCTTAGTAAAGGCAGGGATGTACGCCAGACCACAAAACGTCAGAGCCAACTGCAGATAGGTGAGAGTTGTGCCTGATGGGAAGGAGTACACAAAGGAAAGAGAAGTTAAAAAGGTTCAGAGCACATATACACGTTTTCCTATAAGCGTATCTCGCAGAGATCTCTTTAAAGGAAAAGCATTTTCGGTAATAAGCTTATTATGCTTTCTTGCCAAGAGTGATTTAAGAAGATTGATACCACACTCATATATTTACAGCTAGCCTGGCACTCATATATATTTCTTAATTCTCTTGTATGTGTGTGCGTATGTAAGCGTGTTTTACATGTCGTGTGGGGAAAATGCACATCCTAACGTAAAAACGTGCATGTGTGTGTGTCTCTCTCTCTCTCTCTCTGTAGTTGTACATCTGTTTTTCTGAGGCCCAATTTGAGTTTTAGACCTTGGGAGCGAGGACATTTTGCACGATCCTCACTTTGGGACGGACTTTAAAAGGGCTGTTTGAGGGTTGAGACCTATTTTATTAGCCAATAGGTTCGGGAATGGATTATGTCAATGAGCGTCCTCACAGGTATAGAAAGACAAATGTTTGTGTGTGTGTGTGTGTGTGTGTGTGTGTTTGCTTCAAAAAGAAGAAAGCTTGATCAAAATCTATGCATAACTGCCTCAGAGGTGCCTTCATTTTTTCTGACCTGTCCATGAACTTTAGGCCGCAAACTCAGGAAATATGAAGTAATCCCTTTAACACAACTTCTTCCTGTACTCACTGTGACATACTCTGATCATGACACTATCAATATCATGTTACTGCAGTTTGTGCTGATAGTTCAAACAACAAGGCAACGCGTAACAATAATGAGGTCAGGTGTCACTGCTTTGGCAATTTACTTTGTGAGTGAAAAGTCTGAATGATAGAAATGTTTTTAATTCTTTTAATTTTGACAGAAAAAAAAGATGTTTTTATTGGCCAGGTTTCGAGATATCCATCTCTCACTCCACTACGATGGAGGCGATTCAATCTAAATTCAATTGAATTAAAAAGCATTACACTGAATTGAACAGAAACATCTCTTTCCAACAACAATGTCCTCGTTACTTTACTCCACAGACCTTATTGTGAACATCTTTCTTTCGAACTACTTTCTATCAAAGATTGTTTTCCCTGTTCAATTCTCTCTAAAGTCGATCAATACTCATCTGTTGTGCTTTTACAAGCCTACACACACACACATATTTCATACTCACCACATGAGGAAGCTGGAACCTGCTGTGAGAGCAGAGATCTGATAGTTGGCATCGGAATGAGAGCAAACAAGTTGAGTGAGCGAGCTGCGGGGAAATGAACACTGATTAACTATTTTACTCTCAAGTCCTCCACAATATCCTTCTGATCCACTTATCTCTCTCTTAATATTATCTGAACCACGTCATCTCAACAATAAGCCTTTTGTTTTGCTGTAACCTGTGACGAGACAAATTAAGGTCCATTTGGTTTCTGTCTACCACTCCTTGCTTTGAAACAAGAGTGATTCAACATCATACAAGTTCCATTGGCTATTGTTTGAGTTCGTGCCTGCTAGCTCTTTACTCATAACCTTTTTATGGCATACTATACTATGACTGCTCTTAATAGCATTTTAATTAAATACTATATAATCATGACAATTTTTTTATGTTTTTTTTGACGAACTATATTCTGACTTTTTCTGACTTTTTTGACATTCTATGATATGGCGTTTTTTATGGATTTTTTTGAGTACTATATACATACTAAAGACTAATATATATATATTTTTTATGACACATTATACTGTAACATTTTTCGACATATTAAACTTTTTTATGACTTTTTTCTACATACTACTATACTATGACTATTTCATGAATGTTTTTGTAATACTATAGCATGACCTTTTTTTTTTCGACCTACTATGCTATAACTATTTTCGGCCTACTTTTTAATGAATTTTTTAGTACTTTTTTCTACATACTATACTTTATATGATTGTTTTCAACATACTTGATGAAGAATATTTCATCCATTTTTCTGGTCATACTATACAATCACTTTTTAATGACTTTATCAAACATTAAACATTGTGGCGACCACAGAAATACACTTGGGTTTTCTTTTTCTTACAGGACTCTTGTCAGCTGATGAGACACACCTGAACATGTAATGCAGTTCCAGCTATAAAAGTGCACCACCTGAAATGGACAGCTCTTCCTCTGCTGACCCGGCTGCTGCTTTCTATTTGTTTGCTTCAGAATTTTTCACACAACACATTGCTGATTACTGACTTTTCATGTTTGCATTGGTTGAATTATTGTCTTTTTACCACAGGCTATACTATGACTTTTCTATGATTTGTTTGACAAAGAATACTTTAGTTATTGTACGACTCTTTTAGATACACTAAACTATGACTTTGTTATGCTTCTTGCGACATGATATACTTCATATACTAATGATATAACTTTTTTTTCAAACTATACTATGACTTTTTAAGCCATACTAAATAATAATTTTCTATGACTTTTTTCAACATGAAAGTTTTGGCTTTCATCAGGGGCTACGACATAGAACTGCAGGAAGAAAATATCGCCTGAACTGCAAACTACTAGAGTTCAAATGTCCATTATTCATGATCCATCACACAAACTGTGCCTCAGTCTAAGATGCTTACCGAGGTAGAACATGGAGGTTGTCCTGACGAAGGACATGACGTAAATTCCAGAGGCGAACGACAGCATGCCGATCAGGATGAGCTTTACGTCGCTGACGCAGCGACGAAACACCATGACGCCAAGGAAACTAGTGAGGAAAATTGCACAGCCTGCTGCATGCCCATAACCCACCTGGAGGAAAAGAGATGACATGAAACCAGGGAAAGGATGTAATTGGACAGCAAACAAGAAAGAGCAACAGTAAAAGAAAGAGAAAAACAAGTAAAAGTAACATTAAAAGTGAAACAAGGTCAAATCAATGTACACTATACTGATTATATTCTCTGTTCATGTCTAATCATTGTATTGGATCAACGTTCAATCATTTAAAAAAAAAAAAAAAAAAAAAAAAGGTACAAGACCTAATTCAAACATGCAAAGAAGACAAAATGTCACCTGAGTGGCACTCCAGTTGAGTGGCTCTTTTAGCACAAAGACTTCGATCATTTCTACTGCTCCTCCCACTGCAGAGACGTACAGAACGGCAGCTAGAACCAGCAGAACTACGTTCACCCTGTTTCTCTCAGCAGGAGCCTCCACTGAAGCCTCCACAGGAACTTCACTGGAGTTATCAGGAAGGAGCGGGCTGGCGTCCTCTGGCTCTTTGTTGGGTCGGTGTTTCACCTAAAAATGAAAGTGCACACAAACACATTTAACATCTGCATGAGCTGTGCACTGCTCAGCTGCTGCAGTAGAGCGAATATTTGGGCTATATTTGGGGATAAAAAGCTGGAAATGTGGTTATGACGATATGGCACTGCTTTGTTTGTTACTCTAAATCAGAGGTCTTCAACAGGGGGTCCGTGGCCCCCCAGGGGCAAACATGAATCTGTCCATTATTTTAATAGTTCAGTATTGTATGAAAGATAACAGGTATCTTTATGCATGGCAGTGGTACTAATAGGCCATCACTCATTTTTCGTTTCCACGTTTAAAATGAAAACATCAATGTGAATAGCTTGTACGCATGATTATCATGCAATTGACAGACAATGTTGATATTGGCATTGGTATCAGCTGACACGGTATGTTTATAAATGGCAGTGGCACGGCCTCCCTACTCACTGTACCCGTTTAAAATGAAAACATGAATATATGAACCTGTGTATTATTTCAATAGCTTAGTATTGAATGCACAACAAAGAGGTATGTTTATACATGGCACTAGGCCCATTTAATATAAAACACAATTTTATACAATACATATATAGTCGGGGGTCCCTGCTCCATCTCTCTGTCAGTTTGGGGGTCCTTGGCCTGAAAAACTTTGAAGACCCCTGCTCTAAATGTTTTAACTTTTTTATTTTCTTAAAATGCACACAGTTTACTGGAGTGAGTTAATTCCAGTGTCTGCATACTTTCTTTTTGTGGCTCTTCATGTCCACAGTATATAGGCTACAACAGCCTTAATACAACAAGTTTAGAGTAGTAGAAAGAGTTTAGTTTGATCCGCAGAGCTCCTGCGTCAACCAGTTCAAACTTGGCACGTATAACATGTCGGGATTCATTCCTCATGACATACAAGAGAAAGGTGCAAGGCAGGGGCGGAGCCATACATTGTACGCTCCGGACACACACACATCTAAATATGCACAAAAGACAAAACAGAGTAATACTCCAAAACGCACGCTGACCTGCAGCAGGAAGATGGAGTGCATGAGGCAGAGCAGTTGCAGCAGTGCGCCGACGGTGATCAGGATGGTTCCATTTTCCAAACTGGAGCTGTACAGCAGGAACAGATGACCTGACGCGAGGCTGCCCACCAGACCCGCTGTCCCATACAGCAGCTCCACTGTCATGATCACCTGCTCGGGACATGGGCACACGTTACTTCTTTTAAAAGGTTGACCTCATGATCAGACTTATTACAAGATTAAAACCATTCGTTTGTGATAAGGTTGTTGTTTTTGTGTTTTTTTTCTGCTATTCCTGGTTAGGTTAAAGCATTTGCAAATAATTTACACGCATTAAGGGCTATGACTGATGATTAAGCGTTAAGTCTTTTACTTTTTGTCACATTTTCCAGACTATTACTTCAAATGCAGATTTGTAATGAACAAATAGGCCTAGGCAATTACTTTGTTGGTTAAGGACACATATACATAAGCTTCCTGTGAGTAGGCCTACTTATTGTTGTGAAGCTGGGGAACCGTGTCTGACAGTACTGACCTTGGACCGGTCAGTTGCCGTGGAGGAGAGCGCAGCCAGCGTCATCATGCCGGGCCAGTAGGCGCTGAAGCCACCGGACAGACCGTATAAGACCGCCCCGCCGAACATCACCCCCAGCGGGAGCCGGAACATGACCACCAGGAGCAGGGTGAGACTCGACAGCACGTACCCGCCCAGCGGCACCGCGATGGGGACTCTCCTCCAGCCGCGGTCACCTAACCTGGCCAGCAGCAGCGCAGGTAAGATCGGAACCAGATGGAGGATGAGGTTGTAGGTCATGTAGAAGTCCGATATGGCTCTCTGCTGGCTGGCCTCCCTGGAGAGGTGGGCGTCCGGGTAGGTGGCGTTAACGCAGCGGTCTTTGGCCACCATCTGCAGGGCGGTGGTGAAGAGAGAGCTGCCCAGCTGCTCCAGCACGACCGCGGGCTCTATGCGCCGGAGCACCGCGAAGGCTGTTTGGCACAGGTTCGGCGTGACCATGGTGAGACTTTTAATAACAGCCTCTTCTAAGACTTCCTTGTTAAACTGAAATCATCCTGATGTAGTGAAGACGCGCTACACTCGGTGTCCCTCAGAGTCAGTAAGTATAGTGTTTGGAATTAAAGCACCGAGGGAGAAATAAAAACGCTCACGCCCACACTTCCTCCTCTTTACGCGCTGACAAAACGGGCGTGATGGTACGTAATAGAGTGGGAGCAATTTCGGAAAGCACCCATGTGCTCATGAGTCACATATGCATTTCAGATATATCCAAAACAGCACTTCCCTCTTTTATTTCGATGAAGACACTCATTTCGTTTTTTCTGTGTTTAAAAGAAAATAAAATAATCGCAACAGTCGTTATTGCCCCGGGACTCTTGTGTTCAGGTATGCAGAAAACTGGCGGCTGGCCAATAGAGGGCGCTAGGACCCCGCCACACAAATATGATGTCCTGACATGTTTGTTTAAGTGTTATTTACAGCTTTTTTCATGTTGGAATAAATGTTAAATATTTAACTGCAAAGTATTAATGCGTGTTTGATACCTTAGTTTTTTTGGCATTAAATCATTCTGGGATGTTTGCTGAAATTGATTGGATGTGGCACAGCCACATACATTTTCCACTAGCCGGCAGAAAAGCATGTCAGGACACAATGAAAATCAGGCAATACACAGGTAATGTATCTAAGACCGCAACTAATGTCCTTATTTATTTTTTATTTAAATTTAAATTACTTTTTCAAATAATAATATGGTTGTTTAGTGTGTAAAAATGTGAAACCATGGTTAAAAGCATGGCCATCACATGTTCCCGGAGCCCATCTTGCTTGTTTTGACCAACAACCAGCAATCCAAAAGGATTCAGTTGACAGTGATATAAAACACCAAACAAACTGCTAAATCATCACATTTGAGAAGCTGGAACCAGAAAGTATTAAGATTTTGGTCAATAAATGACAGCGTACATTTAGTTATATCATACTTGGAAAAATTGGTGACAGTCTTGACAGTATATATATATATATATATATATATATATATATATATAGTTTTTAGTTAATTGGCTGAAAATGCAAAGACCACAACTGTGGCTTTTAGAACAGGAATGAACCAGTCGGAAATGTACAGGTTTTGTTTTTAATGAGAAAATATCCATAATATGTATCGTAGGTGTATAACCGTGAGCCTTACATGTGCTATAAAATAACAAAGCAGAGTATGAGCATACAAGTGGTTAACATAGGAAGAGGTTATACTGTATAATAGGATTGCTTTATTACACACACACACACACACACACACGCACCCACACAGACAGACAGTGTGAGTCCCACACTGAAGCTCAGGTGCTTCTGCAGGCCAGAACAAGCAACCAGCATTTAAAAATGATAAATAAATCATCTCATTCAAACAACGAAAGCATAATCATCATAATAATAAGAAATCACACAATTAGAACTCCTCTGCGTGTGCATGATGTCATAACCATTTCAAAAGCATTCTAGTGTATCTAATGTTGGATTGTGTCCTTTGAAGGTAAAATGAGGACAGTGTGTGTACACAATAATACAGTTTTACATTGTGTCGCAGCAGCTACAGTAAACTAGGGATGAAGATTTTGTCGCTTGAAACTCAAATCGTGCTGTGAATAAAGCTTAAGATACAGGAGCTCAGCTGGCATCCAGAATAGGCCACTGTAAAAAATATCATCCGGCACTAAAGGATCTGTGTCCGTCATTCATCTTGAAAAATGTCACTTCAAGCTCCTCTAAAATCTAACAACTCTCACGTGGTATTGCATCAAAATAGCATTTTGTTTGTCCTTTAACTCGCGCGGTAAATTAATCTCATATCAGCATCGGCTCTACCTCTGTTGCCACTGTGATGAAGATACACTATCTGCTGCACCACAATAACATCTCATTAAATGGGACAGTAGTCCTTTAAATACTTTTTTTTCCCTTTTTTCATTTTATATACAATATTATGTGTCGAAATAAAACATGAACGAGGAGGATTCTCTGGAACCATTGTGGGTTTGTTTTGTTTCAGGGGGAAATGGACACATCACGCACTTCTGGTTGCTGGCACTACGTTTCCTCAGAGAACATATTAAAATAGATAATTAAATAGAGTCAGGTAAGTTGCACTCGGGATGGGGCCGTCACAATAAATAAATTAGAGTCATTATTGCCAAGGGTTAGCATGTGTCCCACACTTCTTTATCTTTTGTGCAAGTTTACCTCGGGTTGAATTATTTAGATTTCATTCAGTGTGTTCGTGAGCGAACCGAAAGGTCAGTTCCTGGGGGGAAGGACACTTGAACAGGACATGCTAACAGATGCGGTGATCAAAACTTTGACCGGCGGTTCACAAGGGAAAAATAAATCTCAAAGGCTTCAATAAACAGGCTAACAGAGACTGGAGAGTTCAGTCATCTTTGCTACTTTTCAGTGAAAGTGGTTCAAAAGTTCTGTTTTTCTACAGCCATGTTGGCCCATTTCTATTAATTTCTCATTTAAAAACATTTCAACATGTTTGCCGTTTCTTAATTTGGAAGCTGAACGCTTCTTTCTACACCGGGACATTCCGCAGCATCACCACACTCATAGAGGCCTGTGTGTTGCAGTTATTCTTTGCTCATCAAACAAAACAGGAAATCACATCGTTCTGCAAAATCAAAGCTCACGATATATTCAGTAAAAAAAAAAACTAAAAAGAAACTGACAACCCCCAACCCCCAAATCTCCCACTGTTCTGTCATTACCATACAAAATGAACACACCTGTTTATCAGCCTTTCTACTGAAGGTCTATTGCCTTCTTCTTGCTGCTCGTTGTGTGCTTGTTTCAGGGGAGGAAAGGAGTGTCATGCACACAACCAGTACTTGTTAAATAGACTCAAAAGCACAAGCGGACGGTTCTCTAAGTAACGACATTCTGTTTTGGTATAACAACATTTTTTTTAATAAAAAAAGCTTTTTCCAATATGTTTCATCAAACTTTATCCTCAGCTAGCAAAGTATAGTAGATGCATGGCATGTTGCCCGACTGGAATCTCAACATACATGTTCATATATATCAAATACACAGTCCTACCGCAGTATAATACATGAAACGACTGCTTACATCAGAAATCACAGGTCAACGAAGCGACGCAGCCAGCGAATGTAAAATAAGTGATTTGTAGAATATAAAAACCCCCGACGCAGCCCTTTTAATTAATACACACGCTGACTGAAGTGACGCGAACATGATCCGCAGTTAGCTTCCCTCATCCCTGTCTGTCCGTCACTTACTAGACACAAAGTCACTGAAGAATATTTTTTCAATGACAGGCTTTCTATCTAATGTGGTTGTGTAATTTTCTCTAAAGTCTACAGAAACTGTAGCAAGACGGAATAGGAGAAGATAAAATACATCGTACGTATCGTGCATCCCACGATTACTGACGGTCTAAGGCAAAGTTGAACCTCGATGCTAGTTTTCAAATATTTCCTCGCTAGCATTCGACAGTTCAAGGACCCTCGAGTCGGCACTTACGATTTAATATAGATGCTTAAAGGGATTGCGAGAGATCCCACCAACTCGTCGTATGTGCCTTCGATCTGTACTGTGGTGTACTGTGGTGTACTGCGGCACTGCGAGATGCAGAAGATCAACTTTCACGGGCTCTGAAAGTGATGCTTCAGGTCCCATCCCGGCCATCCTGCAGCATCACTGAATCCAGGTAAAACAAAATAATCTGAAATTACAGAAATTAGACCTTGCTTTTTCTCCTTTCGTCAGACGTTTCTTGAAAGTCACAATGCACACACTTGCGTTGTCTTTCCGCACATTTTGAAGACGATTGGGGTTATTACTGTCAAGCACCCGTTGCCAAAACCATCATCAAGTCTCAATATAATCTTTAGATCTCAGCCCATATTTAAATAAAAAAAGATTACAGGCAAATGAAAATCCTATGAATATTTAAGTCATTCAGCGTCTACCAACTAGTAAAAACCTTTAAAACCAAATACACCTCTGATCAGTTTAACCAACATAGAACCCTTTCAAAGTGTCTCTGTCGTAACTGACCTTTCTCCAAACTCACCTCAACACCTCAAATGTCTCTCACATGCTCGGCCATTTTAACATACTGTCGGCCTTCAATCGTCAGGTCCAAAACACCACAACTTGATGCATCTCTTCGGTTAGTCCCATTGGTCGAGCCAGCGGGTCATGTGATCATCAGAATACTATTAGTAAAATAAATACTGTTGCCTTTCCCTATCATCGCTGCATTTTTCCTTCAGTCCCATCATCATCCTCTTCTTCCTCCACCTTTCCACTCAGTCCCTTAACCGTCTCTGAGAGGAGCCGTTTACTCCTCCTCCTCCTCCTCCTCCTCCTCTTCTTCCTCCTCCCCCGCTCCTTCCTCATTGGCGTAGATACCGGCTTCCCACTTCCGTGCCATGTCACTTTTCCTCCTGGTGACGCGAGTCGCCTCCAGAACCTGTCAATTACAACAACAACAACAAAGAAATAGTTAGCATGAGCCAACTGATCACTATTAAACACCCCATGCTTTTTACCGGCCTCAAGGGATATAACGGCAACACAACCACAAAAACAAAACACACCACAGTGACTTTAATATGGCATGCATTGTGTGCCAACAACTGAGGGAGCGCTTGGTTAAACCATCCTGCAGTAAAGGAGTCCTTGAGTTGTATCCATCCAAAAAAAAAAAACACAGCAAGATGAAGCGCACCTGCAGTATTTAACAATAAAAACAAAAAGTAATTTTACTCCATTTCTGGGAAAGTTTCATGCTTCAACACTAGATTTCTTTCCATTTTTTTAAATGCGTCCCTCTCACACACTCATGCCAAGACACACACACCCACACACACACACACACACACACACACACACACACACACAGTTACAAACACATGAGCACATCTTCACACGCAGGAGAGATGTCTTTGTGAGCAGGAGTCCAGGGGGAAGGTGAAGTGGATTGTGGGTAGAAAATGATGGATTTTGAAATCCCTGAGCACTACTTAAGCTCTTACTTGAGTAGAAGTGTTCGCAATTTATATATGACCTACAGTCGATGAGGATCACAACATAGACATCAACCGCATTTAACATCTTAGAAAAGCAGGTTTTTTAACAGTTGTGTTCTTTGAATTAAGCTTGCTGTGTGTTTAGAAGAAAATATATTATATCTGTTAACTTTCTTTCAATCAATGCGGTGGAACAATATAATTATCTGAAGTTTACGATTTGTTTAATGTGTTGTAGACAGAGGACAAATGTGCATGGGGGGGGGGGAGACAAGCACGTGCAGCACCAACACCACAGAGCAGAACAGTAATGCAGTGAGACCACAAGCAGACCTGGGATCAGATATAAAACAAAATTTGGTTTTCCTTTACAGAATCCTTCCTGTCTCGCATTTATAAATAAATAATACATCCCCATTTTGTTTTACTTGACCACTGTCATATCCGTGAGTCTGAGTCAAGTGAAATACTTTGTGTTTCTTGTTGTAGACTCATCTACAATGTTGAATAAGACTAAAGATAACCCTCATGGTTTATTCTAATGGTAGGAACCAGGGTATGTCCCAATCTATAAAAACTTTTTTTTTTTAAGTTTTCAATTTAGTCTGTCCCAGGTCTGTCGGTACAGGCAGTTCATGGAGTGAACGGGTTTTAGGTGAGACAGGTACCTCAGTGGTTACCTCGTTAACCAGCAACAAACGGGCATACTGACCGACCAGCAGGAGAGAAGCAACAGTACAAATAGTCAAAAACATGTGATGTCATCATGGATAGACAACAACAAGATCACAACAATATTCCTGCTGCATGTTCAAGATAAATTCTGTTATATATCTTAAAAAATGCATGAAATGCAATAAACGATCAGTAAGCAATGTGACGTTGTTGCCCTGAGATGTATCTCTTCTTGTGTTCAAAGTGTTTGCTGCTCATGAAGAAAGTGAAACTGTTGTCTGGGACATGTTCTGGTTATGTAACATTTTTTCCATCAAGTGATTCTTTGAAGACTTTCATTTTCACGGTTTAGTCTGCCGAAATCCAATACTTCTTCTCAAGAGAGACCTAATTCTTAATAATGACACACCACCAGACGTAAAAAAAAGATGGAGACAGGACAGAAACCCCCCCCAGCGCACGTGACTCACTTTCAATTTCATTCCCAGTATTAGGCTGGGAAATTCCCTTTGATGTAATACAGTATTAGCTCTTGCCAAAAGGCCAGGGGGATGGAAGCATTCATCCGTGTACCATGTAGTTTCTCCAGGTTCAAATACTCACACTGTTGTCCTCTATTTTCTCCCTCCTCTTCACTTTGTGTGTTTCATAGTCCTCCATAAGCGTCTGCATGAAGTTCTTGGGTCGTCCTCCAGAGTCCTCGCTGCCGGCGTCAGACAGGGCTCCCTCTGAGGGTGAGGGTGAGACAGGCGGCACAGGTCGAACCTTCTCGATCTTCCCTGCACATCACAGAAAAACATGGAGTTAGACCGGTTTGTTCAATCAACATGATCACACCAAGCAATGGCTTTGTACAACAGAAAATAATTGAGTTTTTATTTTGTTCTAGTGCTGCAACAACAACAACAACCTCATACATAGTCTCTCCAGGGACCAATGACTAACACCCTAGCGAGGCGATACAGCAGTGACTAACCTGGTGCTGTCCTCGCTGTCAGTGTGAGTCTAGCTGGCAGGCTGTTGCTCTTCATCTTATCTGCTGGGGAAATCTTGGTTTGCTGCATCCCCGTCCTCGCGGGGCCCAGGCTGTTGGAGGAGTTTCTGGGGCGGACAATCACAACGGGCTTCTCCTCCCTCTGTTTCTTCAGCTCCTCCTCCCTCTGCTGAGCTGCTCGGATCTCCTCTTCGATCATGGACAAAGTCCGCTGCTTCTTGGAGCGCAGGCGGAATGGGCCGCTGGCTGCCTCCGCCTCGGGGCCTCGCGCCGCCGCCGCCGTGCTACGCAGTTCCGCCGCCTCCGAGTATTTGCTGAAGTAGCTGAACTCCGGTTTCTCCAGGCTCGGGGGAGAAGGGGGGCGGTAGACCGGGGTCGGCCTGGGAACCGGAGCCGCTGATGAGGAAGAGGCAGGCGCCTGAGCTGGAGGCGGCGCCGAGGAGGCGAGCGCTCTGGCGTAAGAGGACTGGATTTTGATCCGGGGGCCTCCGTTTTTGGGCCTCTGTGCTGGCGAGACGGGCTGAGAAGGAGGCGGAGACGGCGTCTGGAGTTGTGGTTGCTGGGCTGGACTGGAGGGCTGCTGCTGTTGCAGAGCCTGTTGCGATTCGGAAGGCTTCTCTTGGGATAAGACCCTTACTTCTGGCCGCCTGTCTGGCTGAGGGGACAGGTTGGATGGAGCAGGACTGGTGGACACGGGTGATTGGAGACTGGGAGCTCCGCCAGAAGACACAGGGGAGGAAGAAACTGGCACTGGGCTACTGGTTGAAGTCGAGGATGGAGATACAGGGGCGCTCAGCTGGGAAGAATTCAACTCAGACGGCTGCCACTCCTCTCCATCCTGAGCTGCCAGGGCATTTTGGATGGCATTTTGGACAAGTACCCCTGCCTGGTACTCCAGCACGTCTTCTGTTGTACTGCTGCTGGTCCGCCCATTGACTTGCGTGGTGGGCTGGGGGGTGGGCGGTGACACCGGGGTAAGTGGCAACGGAGTAGGCGGTAGCGAGGCCCCGCTGTCAGAAATGTTATCCAAGCTGAACACCGTCGTGTCCTGAGAACGGAGAGATAACTCGTCTAATCCCGAGTCAGACTCCTCTGGGTGAAAACCTGGATAGAAATGGCTCCTCGTCTCCTCCTCGTCGGGCAGGATTGTCATTACAGCTCGCGCGCAGGTAAATTCCTCTGCAACTTCTTCGGCAGACCAGGTCACGTGACCCTCCCCGGTTTCTGCGACGACGTCACTGCTCCACTGGCTGGCCCTGGTTGTGGATTTCGAAAAGGGTTTGGCAGAATACATGTGAGGAGCTACGTCGCGCTTGGTCGCCTCCCCTTGCAGAAACTGCCTTCTGGCAGATGAGAAGTTGATCTGCTCCTCTGAAATTTCCTCCTTCCTGTTGAGCTCTGGGTCAAAGGTCACTATTGTGAGAGGACCTGAGACCTGGGGCTGCAAATAGAGATGGGGAGGACAGAAAAGAAAGGTGAGACGGAAATATAACAACAACAAGGTTGGCTCTCAAATCTAATCAATCATCAACATGAAGTACATCGCTAGTCCTATGTGTGTGTGTGTGTGTGTGTGTTACCTGTGTGTATGTATAAGTGTGACTCTCTTTCTGCTGTTTCCTCTCCTGGTACTTCTTGAGAGACTCAAGCTGATCTACATCCAGCTGGTCTTCCAAAGGAACCTTGAATGAATTAATGAATCAACCGAATAAACAATCAGTTTGTCTGGAAGTCAATATACAAAGCAAAGATTAAAGGGGAGGCCTACCTCTTGCGGGGGGTTCCACCAGCGCCGGGCGATCCCGGGGTTTTTCTTCACTGCCTGGTCTTTGATCAGCTCCTGACGCTCACGCTCCAGCTCCTGAACCTGAGAAAGGTTAAAAAGCAGTCCCAATTATTTCAATTAGCATAAGCTTTTAATTACATGTAGGCTGGCAAAGACATGTATGCATATCTTGATCGGTGGATCATAAACAGTGTGACTCGACTGAAAATTATTTTGTTTTCCAGGGGACTTAGAGTTCAGTGGTTGATTTAAAACAGTTTCCACTGGTCATCACTCTTTACTTATCTTTGTTGAATATTTCAACTAGAACTAACCATTTTTGGGTCACTGCTCACAAGTGCTTGTGTTACTCAGTGTTTATTTGCGACACTATTTCCGTTTAAAAATTCCTTCCTTTTGAGCTAAAAGGCTAATTTCTTGATTTGACACTTTTGATTCACAATAACATTACCGCTGTGTTCTTTTTTGCTACTGTGTGTCTGAATACTGTGTCTGTTACAGCTGATCCATAATCTAACAGCCGTTTACCTCCCCTGATGGTCGCCTCCTCGTCACCCTGACCTGCTGCTCCTCTCCTGGGGTGAAGAGTTTCGCCGGCCGCCTCTCCTCCTGAAACGCTCTCAGCTCAAACTTGGCCCTCCCCGACTCCTCGCCCTGCACATGGCCGTTGGTCCTCACAGCAGAGTCCTTCTGGTGGAGGAACGTGGTTTGTTTCAGCCCCTCCACAACAATCGATTGGTGATTGACAGGAGAGGAGGCGGACACGCAGACAGAAGGAGAGTTCCCATCGATGCTGATTGGTTTGCTGTGCTCTGACGGAGAAGAGTTTCCGTTGGTGGGTGTTTCTGAGGCGGCGTCTAAGACCTGGTCCAAGTAGCGGATCTCCTGTGGACACGGCAGATAATGAAATTACTGTTGTGTACAACTGTTGTACGATAATATTCATGAAACTCCTCCTACTATTATATTATGGGGAACGATACAGATGAGCTGATTACTGGACATTACATTAACTATCCCCGTAGACTGTGACATAACCAGTACAATTTACACTCACACCAAAACAAATTGGCACAGTTCCATTTGAGCTGGGTCTTGCTCAGAAAAGCTGCATACCTGCACCACTTCGCTGTCAGGAGTCTCTGACATCACTGCATTGTGAGCTCGGTTGCTGGGGCTGCTGAGGCAGCCATGTTGGATCTGCTGGCTCTCCAGTTCCATGTTTGCAGGCCTGTCAGTGATAACGCTGACCGATTCCTGGAAGCTGACGCTCTTCAAGGCCCGCTCTCTCGGTATTGTGTCACTGACATCCTCGGCTGCCCGCCACAGTTTCTGTGTCGACAAAACAAACGAAGGCCGCAAGGTTCAGAGACACCGTGCACACTGTATGATCACTTTAATAAGAGCAACGTTTGCTCAAAGTAGGAATTAGAAGATAACCTGTTTTACTTTTCCCAGAGCTCTTCCTCATCTCCAATAGAATATATAACACACCTTATACAGACACCCGTCACACACACACAAGTCTGTCTGTCTGCATTGCAGTAGCAGTGTGTTAAGTTAAAGCAATGCAGCAGCAGGAGTGTGTTCTGACTGGATCCCACCACTAGAGGGCACCAACTCCAATTCTGCTGCTTTAGGTCAGAGCAGACACAGAACAATCTTCCATCGTACTGAAAACGATTCTTTGTTCAAATAACTTCACAGTTCTGTGCATGAATCAGTGAGCTGAATACCTGCATGTGTATAGTTTGGTTGGAGGTATCTTGAGCTTCTATAACTGCAGGTGGGAATTAATACATTTTATGTTACTCTTCACATTGTGTCATTAAAAACTGTTTTAATCTCTTGTTATCGAAGGATCTATGTCCGATGGTATCACTTGACACTTTAACGTAATACTTATTCTGCATTAAGTTTGTCTGAAGTGCATCACCGGCAAGGGAGTAGTCACTCCGGGTTCTGCAGCTTTAAGGATATTTCCATTTTAATAGCGTCATATTTGCTCCGTTACGCACATTCACTCCCTGGATCTTCCCCACCTCAGCTGTTCGCAGGGCAGCGTCACTGCTGTGCTGTTGGATTAGGTGCCTGACTCAAGGCTTAATCATCTGGAGTTGTTATGAGGAAGGAAAACCAAAATCCCCCGGCTGAATTTGTCGCACAGCCTGTAGAAACGGATTGTGTGCTAGATGACAAAATAAGTTGTCCAAATGTAATAAAATGTCCCTCCAAATGAAATTAATCTTACCATAATATAATGAACAAACACACGTAAGTTCATAACAAGTGGAACACTTTTATCCAGTGATGTAATTATAATATTGAGGAATAACAGTTAACACAGATGGACACACGGGCATTCTGGGAATCGAACCTATGACCTTTTCTGTTTTGGTGAACCATCCGACCGACACATTCCACATCCACAGTTAGCGAGGAGCTACATTGACACACTCCTGTCTTTACTGGCCTTCCTGTTTCTACAGGGGCCACTAACAAACACTCTATTGGCTTCCTGTTTTACTGCCTTGTGCCAAGTGCACCTCTATTCCAGAAGGTGTGTTTACTTCCATGAGGGGTTGTTGACCCCCGTCTTTGTAACATGTGAGAGTGTGTGTGTGTGTGTGGGGGGGGGTTAATGAGGACCACTTCAGTGAATTGGTCCACTGTTCAGTTAAAGCACACACAGCCATAAGGAGGAAGTGTTTGCTTTGTACTAACTCTCACACTTAAAGACTCAGACTACCTGACCGCCATTTAATGATATTGGTGGACATTTCTACTGACCCTCTACATCACGTGTTTACTGCAGGAATCAGTGGCAGATTTTGCTCAGACTTAACATGAAGAGGGCGATATAGCCTTAAAGCTGGATCATCTTTCTATTCTCTCCCTTTCAATTTATTGGTCCTCATCCTCTCTTCTGCTGCATCCCCTCAGCTGCTCTTTTCTGTCCTCTCTTGCTTCCTCGGTCCTCTCTGGGATTGTTCGAGTGAAGTCACATGGTGGATTATAAAAAAAAAAGCCCCGTCTTGTCTATACTGAAGGAACCCTCTACTCTCCATTGTTTCTTCAGTCCTCTTCCCCCCCCCCCCCCCCGCCCTCCTATCCTCATGTCTCCTGTTTCTACTGGGAGAAAAAAAAACATCTCTGAGGGCATTTTGTTGTCCTGTCTGGCTCAGTCTCATGCAGTGTGTTATTATATACCAGTCAGAATAAACACAATCTCTTAAAGGAACACCTTGCACATTTCCAAGTACATTGAATGCAACTCAACATCTATTTTGCTGCTTTGCATCGAAAGGGGAAAGATAGAAAAAACACACGACTGACACGTAATCTCTGTGACTGAGAGTCTACAGCCATGCTATCAGTTCTGTGAAGCTGTATTTAGCTGAATGTTATTATCAGCATGTGACATGCTCACAATGGCAATGCTATGTTGAGGATCCTAAGTGAGTGTAATGTCTGCCAAGATAACATCTTAGCTTTGTGTGTTAGCGTGCTAATATTTGCTAATTAGTACTAAACGCAAAGTACAGCTGAGGCTGATGGGAATGTCATTAGATTTGCATATTTTGTAAACAAAAGCAAAGATACAAATTACATTTTTGATGTTATGATGGCGCTAAACCAAAAGTTGAAGGTCTAGTGCGTACTGTAGGATTTGAAGGCATTTAGCGGTGAGATTGCAACCATCTATAACTTCTCCTGTGTGCCAAGCGTGAAGGAGAACTAAGATGGCAGACGCGAAAACGCCAAATCGTAAAAGGCCCCATCTAGAGCCAGTGTTTGTTCTGGGCTACTGTAAAAACACTCTGTGAAGAGTACGTAGATAGAGAACGGCTCATTCTAAGGTAACAAAAAAACGAATGAAAACATACTTATTAATATTATATTCCATTTCTGGCAATAGATCGTCCTACTACACTGTTCCTTTAAGAGATTACAATTCACACTGAAGGGGACATGAACATGTGAAAATATACAAACTTTATAACCCTTTATGATGTGAAAGCATCAATAGCATTTCTCATTTGGACAAATAATCGTACTGTTAGCAGAAAGTTACTTTATCAACTTTAACTTCAGCAACGGTAATTCTTTGTTCAACCACACTATCTATGATTGACACTGAACAATATTACAGACTTGTTTAAACTACGCTAATCTTTTCCCCTTTCATCTCCAGGTTCTTTGTTTTCTTCACACTCTCCCACACTCGAATGATTTTTCACCCAGTTAATGATATCAGCGACCATGTGAGGGCCAGATGTCACTTCTGTTTACACACTCACACAGACGAGGTCTTCTGTCTTCTTACATTTGACCCATTGTATACTGCATGTGCGCGTGTGTGCAGGAATGTAAGTGTGTGTGTGTGTAGGAGTGTGTGTCCAGCAGGCAGGACAGTACAGAGAGTGAGGATATCCCTTTACTGCCTCAGGAAAAACAGTACTATAGTACAGGAATGTCTCATATGCAATGCTATCCTGCTACACACCAACACACAATACAAGGAGTGTGTGTGTGTGTGTGTGTGTGTGTGTGTGTGTGTGTGTGTGTGGCTGTAGTTGTGCAGCAGCGCATGACGGTGCGAGCGTGGTCTTTCAAGTATGTGTTTTTGTATCAGAGGTGTGTATTTCACGTGTGTTCTGGTTCTCCTTGAGGTGAACTGACATTCCAGGCATAACTAGCTGTCCTCAAGGCTCGGACTCAAATACTTGTGATGAGGGACATTATACACCCGGCCAGGAGCAAAGTGTGTGTGTGTGTGCGAAAAGAGTGCGGAGAAAACAATCATGTAACTTAAGCGAAAAAGCTAAAATTCTGAGCGGTTTGTTTCAACATCTGAACTGACTCTTGGACCAGGAGTTACTTTTCCATTAGCATGTAAATGCACATACATGTATCAATGTAACAGTCACATGCATTTGACAATAGTGTAAATAGTCCCACCGCCCTCACCGCCGTGATGTACCAGCTGTGTTGTTGTTTCGGCTTATTCCAAAAAAGGATGGAAAGTTCAGGAAAATCCTACAAAGCGAAGACATTTTCACCAGTCTTGCATAATGAACAGATCTAGTTTAGGGTTAGAGATTTGAATTAGTATGAAGTTTGGGTGACAAGCCAAGGTCAGATTTTAGGGTTAGGTTTGGGGTTAAGATAAAGATATTGTATTATGGCTTAGATTAGTCTCAGGTAACTGGGAGTCTGGAGGTTAATATTATAAGGGGTGTGAATCAAGTAATTCAATGGAAAGTCAAATAAAGTGACACAAACAGGAGTCTGTCTGAGTCAGATTTTACTGTCTCAGTCCTGTCTCATTCTCCGCCTGTCGCCATTCCCATCACATCTGGAAACGCTTACTCTCTGACTTTGATGCACAAAAAATCACAAACGCACACACATAAACATACACACACTAATAACATACACGTTCGGCTGCACATGCCTGAGAGGCTGTGTGTGGGGGGGGGGGGTTTACCAGATTATGAAAACCCTAATACTCCCCAACGGGAAGTAAACACACAACCTTGACGTCTCTCACCCAAAACTAAACATTTTCCATGTCTTTAATATAGCGACATAGGCTTCTTTTTAGCACACACTGGAGCCAGAACACATGGCAAATGTCAAAAAAAAAGAAAAATGAAAGCCTGATGATGTACGTCCTCCAACACACATGCTCACTCACTGAGCTGTCGTGAAACAGCTCCGCTTCCTGGCTAAATACGATCCTGTGTGGTAACTGGAGCCTGCTGCTGGTTTAGCATGGTGTTCTCAGGTCCAACCAGCCTGGATTGTGAACCCAGGCCAAACAGCGCTATCTGGTTCTTACTCCTGATGTCAGCCTCCGCTTAAGACAGTTTGGAAGGTGTTGAACTAGAGCCGTGGTACGTCATCGACAAGCTAAACGTGGTTACATTGACACAGAGTGGGGGGGGGGGGGGGGGGGG